CGGCTCGACCTGGCGGGAAGCTTCACGGACGCGGGCTGCGGGAAGACACCGGGCGTAGCGGGGACGGTTACTTAAGTACCTGGGTTGCTCACTAGATAGGAGATCGCGTTTCAGAAAAAGCCTATTTTGAAAAATCTGCGGTTGCTTTCAGAGACGATCAGTGGAATAATGAATGGCCCCTGGGGCCCGGAATGACAGCTGGGAGCAATCTAAATGACACAGCATTTTGTAGGCAACATCGCAAAAAACCGTTCCTAAGACAAACAGCTTCCCCCTGCAGAAGAGACCGAGCGACCAGCAGACATTCTGTAGTGTATTTACAGATTTTTCTGCTGTGGTGAATAATCTGTCTAAGTGCTACTCGCAGGGTTCAGTTCCGCAAAAGGAAATAGATCTATTTCTGAAGTACCTGAGGAAGGCGGGAAAATAAGCCTTAATTAAATATCAAATACCTCGTGTGTGTTTACAAAGCTGATCACCGCCCGGAAAGGAAAAATAAACCTGCACATTGCACAATCAGGACTCTGATCTGGGGAAGGCGGGGAGGGGAAAGGTGATCAGGTTTCTTCAGAAGTTAAATCTGTGTTGGGAAGGGGAGGCCCGGTAGCTTTACAAGAGGAGGAGTGAGTAGCGTTTTGTGTCAGACAAAAGTTGTTGGGATTGCAGGGCGAGGGGAGCGTTTTGGTAGCGGGAAAGCTGCAGCTGAAAGAGCCCTGAGGGTAGAGCCAGCGCGGACTGGACACAGCCGGAGTGGAGCACCGAGCCGTCTGAGGTAGTCAGAGCCCATCGCTGCCGGCCACTGGCTCAGGGGCTGGCCAGTCTGAATCAGGCTCTTCTGTGATGATCGTCCGTTTCACCCTTTTGTTGTAATATGCGTGACTTTTAGCAATTACGTCTTTTTATTTAGTCTTTCCGTGAGATGTTTCAAGTGAACCATGTGCGTTCTGTACACTTCCGGCTTCTTAGCATCTGCCTCCTGCGTGGTTCGTGCACAGTACACACTCCTTGACAGAATGAGTGTAGCCTACTGGCTGATGCACTAAAACTGTGTTTTGTTTTTTCTTTTCTACAGTGTCTTGCCTTCCATGACATTTCTCCTCAGGCACCAACACATTTTCTAGTGATACCTAAGAAGCATATTGCCCAGATTTCTGTAGCAGAAGAAGATGATGAAAGTGTAAGTAAATGTCTAACATGGTTTATTTTATTGCTTTTTAAATCAGGAAATTAAATTCTGAGATCCCACATTTTCTTCCCAAGGGCCTAACTAGGGAAAAATGGAAGGATCTTTAGGATAATTCAGAGTATAGTTTAATTCTGATAAAATAGATCTATTAAAAAATGCTATCGTGCCGGGAATTTAGCTCAGTAGCCTCGCACCTGCCTCACAAGTGCAAGGTCGTCAGTTTGATCCCCAGTACCCAAAACAAAAAATGCATTTTAATGGTATGTCATAAGTCTAAGAATTGGTGTGCTGTGTGACTGAAAGGAAAATAAATCTGTAAATAGAGAATATTTAAATGATAGTTGAAATTCTAGTGATGAGAAGACTAAAGGGTAGTTTGTAAAAACATCCAAGGGATATATTGAAAAGAAAGTCAGTCATGTGAAATCGAGTAAATCATGTCCACCTAAGATAATATTAAGTCAGCAAAACTCTTCAACTCTGTTACAAATACACCTGCCTTGTAGTTCTAAAGTTTGGTTTACTAAATTCACAAATTCAGGTGCCTGTTTCTGTCCCGGGGTTATCAATCAAAATGGTACATGCTGAAGCCTTTTCTAGACCCTTAAGTCGGAACGAAGTTGTTGGTCTAATTTTCCGTTTGACAATATTTGGTGCAGTAACATACTTTACTATCAAATGGATGGTAGATGCAATTGATCCAACTAGAAAGCAGAAAATAGAAGCTCAGAAACAGAGATTGAACTAGGGTCCTTGTGCTTGCAAGGCAGGCCACCGAACTGCTGAGCTAAATCCCTGGCCACCACTCACTCTTTACATCCTCCTTGACTTCTTAAAATGAAGTTGCATCAAAGGATAATGAAATAATTGAAAAGGCAGAAAAACTAATGAAGCAAATTGGTGTGAAAAACGTGAAGCTTTCAGAGTACGAAATGAGTATTGCTGCTCACCTAGTAGACCCTCTTAATATGCATGTTACTTGGAGTGATATAGCAGGTTTAGATGATGTTATTACAGACCTGAAAGATACAGTCATCTTACCTATCAAAAAGAAGCATTTGTTTGAGAATTCTAGGCTTCTGCAGCCTCCCAAAGGTGTTCTTCTATATGGGCCTCCAGGCTGTGGTAAAACATTGATTGCTAAGGCTACAGCCAAAGAAGCTGGCTGTCGATTTATTAACCTTCAGCCTTCACCACTGACTGATAAGTGGTATGGAGAATCTCAGAAATTGGCTGCTGCTGTTTTCTCCCTTGCCATAAAGTTACAGCCTTCCATCATCTTTATAGATGAAATAGACTCCTTTCTACGAAACCGTTCAAGCTCTGACCATGAAGCTACAGCCATGATGAAAGCGCAATTTATGAGTCTCTGGGATGGATTGGATACTGATCACAGTTGCCAGGTCATAGTGATGGGAGCTACTAATCGTCCTCAGGACCTTGACTCTGCTATAATGAGAAGAATGCCTACAAGATTCCATATCAACCAGCCTGCACTAAAACAAAGAGAAGCAATCTTGAAACTCATCTTGAAAAATGAAAATGTGGACAGGCATGTAGACCTGCTTGAAGTCGCTCAAGAAACTGATGGGTTTTCAGGAAGTGATCTAAAAGAGATGTGTCGAGATGCTGCCCTCCTCTGTGTCAGGGAATATGTTAATTCTACATCTGAAGAAAGTCATGATGAAGATGAAATCCGGCCTGTGCAACAGCAAGACCTGCATCGGGCAATTGAAAAGATGAAGAAATCAAAGGATGCAGCATTTCAGAATGTTTTAACACATGTTTGTTTAGATTAAAAGTAAAGATCATTTGTACAGTTCAGTGATCTAGTTTGGTGTCCCCTCTTATCAGCGGAAGTAGAGTGGAAAGAGTACCCTTAAAAGAGTGAAAGAGTCCCATGTTTATGGTTTTATACTCTGAATTCTAAATTATTGAGGTATAGTTATATAAGTGGTATTACTACTTGTCAGAATCATGAAGAGGAACAATTTAATCCAGCCCAAGTGTGGGTGCTTGTGTTTGACCTCTTTAGCCATATGTCGTCACAGCCTTATAGAATCTAAGCTGGTCTTAAAGGAATGAATGACTCATTGAATCATTAGTGAGAAGTGGGGATGTGGTTAGGTGCTGGTTCTAGACGTTTGTCTGTGTATGTATGTGTGTACATTAAGTGTATATACTCACACATTTTTTTATTGACATTCTGTAGATATGTTTGAATACAGAAATTTTTTTTACCCCAACCACTGAATCCAAAAGTACCAAATAGTATATAGGAAAACTACAATTTGAGGTTGTATCTTAACAGGTACAGTGATTCAACCATTTCTAGTTGTCATTTGTTTTAGCCTTTTCTAAGTTGAGTGTTTTTCGGTCTGCAATTGATTAGTTGAATCAAGCACATCGGAATATATGGTTTAATTATAATGGTTATAAGGATAATCAAATAAAAATATTGCTTAAGGCAGATGTATGATCAGCACTGATTTCACCTCTTTCTGCAAGCCATTAAGAAGACTTTTTAAACAATGTTATATTGATTTACAAGAAGGTGGATTGAAAGCCTTTTAAAAGAATGGGTTTGAAAAACTTCAGCACCTTTTAAGATGTATATGTGATTTTTTTTT